TGCAGGACAGAATGGGAGTATGGAGGCATAGATCTCACAGGAAAAGACAATCACATGGGAAATTCTAATGAGCTAACTAAAAAGATGGTTTCAGATGAGGTAACATGACTTCTTGGCAGCCATATTGGAATCTGTCAGACAACAGTAACTTGTGTTGCGCTACCAAGATATGTTCAGTTGCACTTGTCTTATTTTAGATTCTAGCCAAGTCTCCATGAATGTAAGGATGAATTTCAGGGAAATCTCTCGAAGCATAAGAAGATTTCTTTTTGATGTAACAGCCTTAGCTGAAATAGAGGGCTGGGACAAGCAAATACAGGGTATTGTACTATAAGCCAGTGGAGGTGCATCAATCAGAGCTTTCTTTCTGAATTTTACATACATTTTAACAATAAAATCTAAAGTTTAGGAAAGTTCAATAGGCTAATCAGATGTTTTGGTTGTAAGAACTTTACCATAACAAATGGTATAACTTCTTATATTATTACTGTAAAAGGATAATAGTACTGTTGATTTTAAGTTTTAATCCATATTTAACCGTATAAAATAAGCATAAAGCTTTTACTATCAAAAGAAACCATATGCCATATGAAAATACCATTATAGCCTGTAATATAATAAAACAACTAAATAAATTCCTTTAAAATGCCGTATGAATAGAGGTTTTGCCATGAGATATCACTTATTGCAAAACTTTAACCTATTTCAAGTTTACGGTCTTTTACTGTCTTGGTTTGATATATATTACATATTAAAAGTAAAGTATTTTAATATATTTATATTCTGTAATTGCCTCTCTATATTTTGTAGTTTTTTTGTTGCTGGTGGAGTCTGGCTTTTCCCTTTATATCAATGCACAAAGGATACAATCATACTGCATATAGGAGGCGGTGTAGGAGTAGAATTGAGCTCAGACAGCAGCTACAAGCATTTGACATGACCACAGTGTAGTAGGGACACCATTTGCTATGGCTGTCTATGTCCTTTCTGTAGTTTTGGTACTGAAACACAGCTTGTTGTTTGAGGACTGGGGGTGTCTTATATTGTGTATATTCTGGCAAATTTGTGCTTTGCCATTTTTTAGGCTTCTAAATAAAATTGACTGGATCACAGAAGGAAGCATCGCTACAGTCACATTAAATTAATTTTGGAAAACGATCTTCTTCATCGCATTATTAACTTTGACTGGACTTGGTGCTGTATTCAGTTTAATATCACTGGTCAGTCACAGTTCCACAGTTTTGTTATAACTGTTGAGGTTGAACCTGGGAATTCAAAGGCAACTGCAAAAAAGTGAAATGCCAATTTAACTTAGAATAAAACAGAAACTCAATGAAGCCAAAACATACAGGCCATTGTTAAAACTTGAAGAGACATTGAAAATATTGAAAACTATCCTAAAATTCTTATTTAAACCAAATCAATAAAAATACAAACCAAAACATTTTAAATAATAATGTGTCACAATTATTGTGTAAAGGTTTGAACTCCTCCCTGTTATTGAAATTGTAGCATTTGTATCTTCTGAACTCACTTTTTTTCATCCTTCAAACAATGAACTTGCACGTTTAGCTCAGTGACGATCAGCAGAGGTGACATAAAACAAGCACTAAAAACAGACCAGATGAGGAATGTGCCCTGCAAACAGAGTAATAACGAAGTTAATGTTGCTCTACTAATTTGGCCTCATGTCAGCAGAGAGAGAAAGACAAAGAGAGACTGCAAAAAGAGGGTGAGGAAGCTGGGAGCAACAAGAGATGCGGAAACGGACAGACCGGTACAAGCAGAGAGAGAGAGAGACAGCCCAGACTCTAGAAGAGAAAGATCACTACCAGGGAAAGAGGCAGACATACACAGAGAGGGACTGAGAGAGACAGACTATTGTGTCATCTGGGATCACTAAGCACTGTAATAGGCTTGAGTCTCATCAGTTGGGCTCAGCTCAGGTCGGCTTGGCTGCAGATTTCCTCGCTGTCTCCCTGCCAACAACAGCACATGGGAATATGATTCTCCAGCAGACCCCGAACAATCCGAGAAGGTCTCACTTAGCTGGCTTTGGGAGAAAAAAGAAATAATAGGTTCAAGTTTCCCAGAGGCTTCATACTGGCATAATATTTGCCCACTGGTTCATAATGGAACTACGATGATCTCAGCACCGGAACGCTCCTGGCAAACCCAACACAGGGTATGAGATGTGTCTTCTGTGCCGATTTTATTCTCAGTGTAATTTACTCCTGCAGTGCCCAGTCTTTTTATGCTGGAGATTCTACACACACAAATACACACGCTTGTGAAATGATAACCATTTGATGCGATAGCACCATTTGAATATCTCTCTTCAATTTGGCTGGGGCAGTAGATGTCCATGCCTGGTACAAAAAAGGAGGTTCTGTTCTGACTAAGGTACCCATCAGGGAAAACTTAGCTGTTTCTAAAGTTTTATTCGGTACAAAATGAGGCCAGTAAAGCCAGGCACATTTTAGAAAATATAGCTCAGAACTTAAACATTTAAAACCAAGAGAGTTTTCACTTGTAATAAAAGCAAAAGCTTATGTAATATATAATATTTAAATAAAAGCACCCTATGGAGCTATTTGGTTTTGAGTATTTCTACCAGATGTACAGGACTGCAAACAAATGCTTTCAGAATGATGACTTTTTAAAGCTACATTATACTATTTTTGAACAGCGATAGAACATAATCTTTCTTTTACAAAGAAGGAAGTTGAACTCATAAGAAATAAAACGCACACTTAAGGCGGCCTTATTGGTCCGGTAGCTTGTGGTGGCCAATGTTGACTAATGTTATCCAATTTTACGGTGTGTGATTACTTTATCATTCATATTTACATTTACATTACTTAGTCAGGTAGGTGACTTTATCTTCTCTACTTGTGCTACTGTTACAGCATGTTTTAGCATTTAACTGAAAAATAAATGTCCTTGTTTTTATTGGTAAAACAGATGCTACTGTGCTAATGTGCTGTATTTATGGAAATTAAAAGATCTACAAGATGGTTTTATTAAAGAGTAACTAAACCCCAGAACCATTTTTTTTTTTGCCTAAGTAATGGGTATTTGTGGTTGATTGATTCAGGTCCAAATCTGGAACTTTTAGTGCAAAGTATTTGGCTATTATAATTAAATTTTGCTACTGGTTGATCTGGAAGGAGATAATGTATGTGGAGGCAGCTTTAATCACCAGCCAACCACTGCTTGTATAAAACCCACGTCTCGACTCTGCCGACTGTGTCCTGCTACGTAGCCATAGCCTGACACAAACAGCCGTGAATGTGCTTCTAGTGACTAGGGAAGGGAAGCAGAATTTGGGGGTTTACACTTAGCTATTATGATGACTGTTGCCTAATTAGTGAGTCATTATTAATTAATTAGTTGTTTCTGGCTTTCTTTTATGTTTTATGTTAGGGTGAGGATGGCTGCATCACACATAAACAATGCTACAACTCCCCTAACTATATCTAAACTAAGCTAGGTTAAAATTTACACATGGTACAACAGGCTGTAGCAGACATGTTTATTATATCCTGCACTCACTTAAGTATGGGCAAAACAAAAGGCAATAGCACATTAAACACACCCCCACTGGACAAGTGTCCAAGCAAAAGACTGAGTGTTATCCATAAAGTCAGAGCACTGTCTGTTGCCGTTACAAAAGTACTGACACCCCCCCCCGACCCC